TCCGCGCTCCGTGCAAACAATAAAACAAACCTAAGGACCAAAGAGATGCCCAGAGTGAGGGGCTCTGTCATCCAGGTGTGGGATCAGGCTGAAAGAGGCGAGAGGAAAGGGGAAGGAACCCTGCCTACACCTTCACCTTAAAAGTGGAATGAACCCAACTTTTATGTCCAAGAAACAAAGGAAGGAGGGAGCTAGGATGGAGGAAGGAAGAAGAGAATTAGAGGGAGGGAGGGAGGGAGGGAGGAAGGAAGGAAGGAAGGAAGGAAGGAAGGAAGGAAGGAAGGAAGGAAAGGCTGATTTGGAGATAAGGACTGAATGTCCCACTAAAACAGGGGTGGGGGATCTTTTTTCTGCCAAGGGCCGTATGGATATTTGTATCATAATTCATGGGCCAAATTTATCAACTTAAAAATTAGCCTGCTATATTTGGTCAAACATTTACTTAACTCACCCCTACTGCCTTGGCAGGGCCAGACCAAATGATTTCTTGAGCCTCATAGGGCCCGCAGGCCAGACATTCCCCAACCCTGCACTAAAAGCTGGACAAATTACAAGCATGTGTCGGAACGTCATGAGGAATGAAAGCAGAAGACGCCCAGTTTTGGGCCTGCTCTCCAGCAGCCAGTCAGAAAAGATCTCCCACAAGCTGGGAGCCTTCACACTCAGGGTATGAGTTATAGAAGCAGAAAGGATTCTGGGTGTCTGTGCACGCACACGTGAGCACACACACATACACACACACACCCTGGGGGGCAGACTACGTGCCCAACTTAGACACCCAGTCTAGTTGTCACTGGATGAACAGGAAAATGATGCCAAATTAACACACATTATAAATCCTTCCCTATCTAATGAAGCCATCAGCAATTTTAATTTCATTTTTCATTTGTTAGTTAAAAGAGAGAGAGAGAGCACTTAGCAAGTGATTATCTCCCCAACCTCTACGGACGCTTCTTCAGCTTCATACTGCATTTGTCAGCAAATGTGATTGGAAAGAAAACTGCTCCAAATATTTGCCTCCCAGATTTTTTTTTTCATTCTCAGATTTAAGAACTAGCGGACTTGCTTTTTGACCCCCTGCCATTGGAATTAGTTGATTTGAACAATGGGACCCTGACCCAGAGAGGAGACTTCCTAACACAGGTGCGGTCACCCTCTTCCGGTTGCTCCAGCCATTTCAGCTTTGAAGCAGTTTTACATGACCCTGCAGGCAGCACTGACTCCAGCCACCTGCCAAGGGGACAGGTTATTGCCGGGCCTCGATGGTCACTGCAGACGGCATCCTAGATCCAGGGGACAGACCTGAATCCAGCCTCTGAGACATCACCCTTCACTGTAGAGATGAGGAAACAGGTTTTCCAAGAGGCAGGGATTCTGCCAAGGCTGCCCAGCTGTTGTGTAGCAGGGCTGGGTCAAAATCTGACTACCAGCCAAGTTCTTCCTAACCGTACGGAAGTATGTCCCCTGATTAAATGGAAGCAATGCTCTAAACCAGTGGTTCTCAACCTTCTGGCCCTTTAAATACAGTTCCTCATGTTGTGACCCAACCATAAAATTATTTTCGTTGCTACTTCATAACTGTAATGTTGCTACTGTGATAAATCATCATGTAAATATCTGATATGCAGGATGGTCTTAGGTGACCCCTGTGAAAGGGTCATTCGACCCCCAAAGGGGTCGCAACCCACAGGTTGAGAACCGCTGTTCTAAACTAAAAGCAGCCCTTCGCTCCCAAAAGTGAGGACTTCTATTATGGACAAGATGGACTTTAAGAGGGGCACTGAATGTCGGGGTCCTATCTGCAGTCTTGTGGGCCCCCCGTCTGCAGTCAGCACACTGTATTGTTTCTTGTGTTGAGTGAATGCATGCCTGTTTCCTCAGAAAGTGGCATTCTCCACCAGGGAGGGACTGTTCTATTCATCAGCCAACCAGCTGTGTGGCATAGATTTTGTACACAGTGAACACTCAAATGCACCTTTTGTAAAACAAATGACTGCCCAAAATACCCAGCAAAGCAGGGATGGCAGAGACGCTCTGTAGATGGAGCATGGGAACAACAATAATTATTTGAATTTTTCTGAAATAGAAAACTTAGGAGGGACAGCTGCTTAGATGTGGAGAATTGCCAGAGAGGAGGTTCTAGATTAACACACATTTTTCTAGAGCCCCAGTCACTCAGCGATTTTCCTTTCTTTACTTTTTTAGGACATTTTGTTGTCTTAATCGAAAGCCCTGTATACCTCTGATCAACTGCTGTCCCTCCTAAGGGACCAGCACACACACAATCCCTTTGGAAAAGCCTAATCGGCCCTAATTGAGCCACAAAACTAACCCAAATTAGTCAGACTTTTAGAAAGCTGTCAGTACTCTTGAAGGCAACCTGGGCTCCGACTCCTCCACCGCCTTCACGGGGAGTAAGTGTTCAAGTTCTAAAACCTTAAAGTGCTGCCAGTGACCCCTGCACAGAGACCCCCTTCTTGTCAAAGACATTCACTCCATTGGCTTTTTATTCCCATACGAAACAGAAATAACAACAGAACATCGGACTCCAAGGTGGATCACAGAACTTCAAAGTCCAAAGCCTATTGCGGTAGTAGTTTTCCAAAGAAGCAATCAGGCGTCAGCCTCTAGCCCCTTAGTGGAGTCCTCATCTCAGAAGAGTGTCATTGAATTCCTGGAAACCAAAAGCATCCCGACAAAAGCAGAACCAAGTGTCTTCAGTTCTAAGAGTCCCCGAATCAAGCAAATAAAGTCAAACCTCTTACATCTCCAGCGCTTGCCACTGCAGCAGTCCCCAATTACCTGAAGCTTCCAGCCACTCATTTTACACCCAAACTCTGCCTCTAATGACTCAATTGGCAGCAACCTTGCAACCTTGTTCTCACCTTTATTTTGCATTTGATAATTAAAAGCATCATGTTTAAAAACACCATATTCTTACAAAACACCTTGGAGTTGAGAACCCAAAATTATCCAAAGGTGTCCTTCTCTGAAGAATCTCATATCTGGGTGATGGGCGGCACACAGGTACTTCTAGCCCCATTTTAGAACAAGGAAAGCGCCTCAGGGACTTGAACTGAGTGAGTCAGTCATGAATCCGAAATAGAAGCGAGACTCAAGATGACCTTGAGTCAAATCCAACCCGAAAAGGTGTAAATTGATAGTGACACTCATGTAGCCCAATGCGCCTCCAGAAAGTAAGTCAGAATGTCCCCATAAAAAAAACACAAGTGTTACTGTCAAATCTTAAGTATTATCCTACATATGCCATTACTTTGGCAAATTCACCACATAAGCTTCTGTTTGGGGCTGCAGCCATATGTTATATATGCTGTAGTATGCTGCTTTATTTTCCTTCCTAAGTATAATCCCTAGAACACTAAAATGACGATCTCACAAAGTTACTTGCTACAATATGTGCTTCTAGTGAGATTTCACATTTCATTTTAAAATCTATTGAGAAGCATCTATAATAATAAAAATGTAATATGCTAATTAGACCGGACAGCCGAACGACCTTCTAGATGTCCTTCCAGACGACCTTCCGGATGAAGTCGGGACTGCGAGGGCTGAGGCAAGCCTCTGTGGCTGTGAGGGCCAAGCCCCTTGCACGAATTTCGTGCATTGGGCCTCTAGTTTGTTAATAAGCATTAGGACCATGGACACAGGCAGAGGAAACTGCTCACCCACTTGAAAGCAAAATCACTTGTAAAGTCATCTTTTGAAGACTGAGGGACTCCATCAGGGCCACTCAACCACCTAGTGCAGTGGTTCTCAACCTCCCTAATGCCGTGACCCTTTAACACAGTCCCTCATGTTGTGGTGACCCCCAACCATAAAATTATTTTCATTGCTACTTCATAACTGTAATTTTGCTACTGTTATGAATCATAATGTAAATACCTGATATGCAGGATGTATTTTCATTGTTATAAATTGAACATAATTAAAGCATAGTGATTCATCACAAAAACAATATGTAATTATATATGTGTTTTCTGATGGTCTTAGGCGAGCCCTGTGAAAGGGTCGTTCGACCCCCAAAGGGGTCGCGACTCACAGGTTGAGAACCACTGATCTAGTGGCTGAGCAGGGTCAAAACTGAGAAGATAGGTTTGACTATCAACCAATGCTCTTCACATCACTATACAAAACCGTGTTCCCCAATTCACTGGAATCAATTCTCTAAACTAAAAGCAGTCCTTCTGCTCCCAGATCCACCGGGACTTCTAATGGTGACAAGACACATTGAAGAGGAGCATCAACTGTCCGTGGGAATCCATTTCTCTTCCAAAGACCCTTCTCTCTCCCACTCCCATGTATTTAAGGCCACCTGGATGTTAAAGCCTAGTGAACTTGGACTTGTTTACGGTGAGAAAAGAGCCAGGACTGAAAAGCAGGGCCAACGTCAAGGTTCCCTTCCCACAACTATGTCTGCCTTTGTGAGAAACACAAGGCTTAAAAGATGAGGAAATGGGGAAAAAGAAGTGTGTTCTAGTTAGACTTGCACCCAGTCAGAAACCTAGGGGCACAATGCAGCTGAGGTAGTAAACCCCCCAAAATAAAAAACAATAAGAAAAAAATCTGCCAACTCCAGCGAACGACAAAATGCACAGGATATGCATTTGACGAGAGTAACCCAAGGCTCTCCAGTGACCTGGGGGGAAGGTCATTTCATCTATAAATGAGATCTGGGATGGAACAGAGACTCTCATTCCTGCTGGACCATCATTCCAACTCCCTAAGCTCACAGTTTTCTAGCTAAACCTGCTGAGAACGTAAAGGCTTCTTAGGACCTTACTTTCAACCCAGAAAACAGAAAAGAAGGCCCTCTTTCCACTGCATGGAAATTTATGTTTTGCGATCCATACGCCCTTCCAGACAGGAGGCTCTGCAGGCAGGGGCTGGAGCTGCACGGCACCTGCCTGGTGCATGGTAGGCAGCATATTTTAATAAATGAGTGACTTGCCCAGACAGCGCAAAACCTGAATTCTACTCACACTTATGGGAGAGAAGCACGTCAAAGGAATCGGCCCACCTGGTGGCTTCTTCTGTGGAAAGTCTCCTAGAAAAGAAAAACCATCTCTCTTGACTATTTTTGAAATGACCTTCTCGCCTTTAGCCACCACTGAGATCTGCCAGCAGAACAGATCGGAACAACGCAGGGCAAATAAAGACCATACCTGGATTCCTGAAATTCTGTCACTGGAATGTGTTACATTCCTAAGAAACGGTTGCGGAAATCTCAGGATTGGCCTTCTGGGAATTTAGTATCTCGGCTTTCAGTCTAAAGAACAAAGCTAAGCAATTGCGTGATTTAAAAATGTCAAGATCACCATGGAGAGAAACTGGTCTTGGAGTCAGGAAAGTTAGGCTGAGCTCCCGACTCCCTCTCTGTCACCTTAATTTCTTCGCCTCTGTAAGGGGGACGAGGACACCCATCATGGAACCCTAGGAGGGTTAAATGAGGTGACATCTGTGACATCATTTAACTCTGGGCCAGCACGGGTAGAGGCACTGAATCCAGTTTATCTTAACCTAAGCAGATTTTTCAAATAGATTGGAGTGTTCCTTTCCAAATCGAGAGCTCAGATTGACAACAAAGTAGGGCCAAGGAATATCCTCCACCGCAGCTGTAGGAAAGTGGTGGTTAATATGATTTTCTTAAAAGTGAAAAGAGTGAAAAGGTGTGCTAAGTGATACATTAGGAAAGGATAATAACCATTCTGTCATTCACATTCAGGTGTCTAAAAGGAGCTGCCAGGAGGCAGGAATGTATTGTCTCTTGGTTCATCTGGCCAACAGCTCACTAGAGAAGAACGGGTTCTGTGGCCACACGGTGGGAGCCCCACGCTGGGTACCCGGGATGCCAAGTGGCCATTACTACTCACTTCAGAGCACGGTTGGGCTTGTCAGGAAGAATCGCTGTGAAATCACTACACGAGTCTGACTTGTGAGACAGGCATCCCAGTCGAGTCCTCATCCCTTTGTTCCTGCAACAAGAAGGGCCTGGCCTGTTATGACAAGAGCTGTCAGCTCCATAAAGGGCCCCTGGAGTTGTTGCTGCAGAAGCCAGCACCACCTCCCCGACCCCACCCTGCCCCCAGGGCGGGGTGGGTTGAAGATTTCTCGATCAGGAAAAACCTAGAAGATCAAGGGATATACTCACTCCCTATCTCGACTACAGAAATAGCAATAGGTACCCTCCCCGAGAGGCCTAGCTTTTTAAAGCTGACATGCAAGTTGATGGTAAGTCAATGAAGGTCGTTAGCTTGGAAGAATTTCTAAATTAGGATTCTCTGTAGGGAGAGGAAATACAGTGATGACAAAATAACAAACCACATTTTGCTCTCCATTAGGAGGGCGAAGCTGTGGCCGCCACAGCTCCCGACTGCAAAGGCCCCAGAGCAGCTCCCACACAGAGTGGAGGGTTGAGCACTCGTGTGATACAGGAATGCACCTCACAGGGTCTCAGAGCACAAAGCTTGGGGCGTCCAGGCAGGTCAAGTGGGACTCTGGTTCCCCCTCTCATCCCACAACCCTGGGGATATACACGAATGGCTACAGACCAGCAAGGATCATGCCTGCCGGTGAGAGGAAGGGAGATTGGAACACTCGGCCATGAAGAACCTGTGTCCCCTTTGTCAGTTCTTTTCTCTGCTTAACCCAGCTCTTCCTATTCCTATTTGTATTTTGGCAGCTCTCAATCAGCAGGCTTAAAATTTTAACATACATGTTTAGAATTCTCATACATTTTATTTTCCTAAGGTCCAGACAGTTCATTATAGTTATCTATTGTGGAGGATCCAATGAGAAATTATGTTCATGTCTCTTTCTGACTCCCAACATTAGCCCATTTTACCTTCAACCAGAGGTCAGCCCTGGAAGATGCCTATTTGTGTAAATAAAGTTTTATTAGAACACAACAACTCCCATCTGTTTACATACTAGTATTGTGGAACGCTGCTTTTGAGCACAAGGGCAGAGTTGGGTGGTTGCAACACAGACTATATGGCCCCAAAGCTGAAAATATTTACTTTCTGGCCCTTGACAAAACAGGTTTACTGATGTCCGAACTTTAACCCCGGCAACTCCTCGCATGGAGGGCAAAGGTAAGTGGCCGGGGGTTGGTATAATCAGATCAGGACCACACACTGTAACAATGTGCCCTGGAAACGGTCCTAGGAGATGTTATTCTCCATGTTGAAGGGAAGTCCTTCCTGCCTGATGCTTCTTCCCTCTTTTTCACAAATCCTGGGCCTGAGCAGAAATGTTACAGCTCATCCATTTCCATCTCTTCCTTTCACTTCAAGTGGGATTTGACCCCTCGGGCAAATATTCACAGAAATCTAACAAACACCTACTGGGATGTTATTACACTTGACGAGCATGGACAACATTCGTATACTACTGCCCATCTCTGAGGAAAGGGTCTTTTAAGGCTGGGACATCCAAGTTCCCAGAAATGTCACTATCCTGCAGAAAACTGAGCCTGCAGGTCCTGTGCTCCCACCTCTCATCAGCCAGGTGCACTGTGAAGCCACGGATTTCCCGGCATTCAAAACATCTGCTCTAGCGTCTCATGTCCACTCACTCTTACAAATCACAGGCTGCTGTGACAACAGGCCATGCCCCCAAAAAGCAATGAAGAGGATTTCCAAAAAATGTCAGATCCATGCAAGCCATCTAACAAGGGTTAGCAGGGGCCAGAGTAAAGAGTGCTACTTGTTACCAAGACAACAATGATTCTCCCAATAGTTTGCAAAAAGTCTTCCACGATTTATTCTTTGGAACAAAATGGTTTTGATTTTCCATCTTGTCTAGCTGAGAGCTCAGTTCTAATCTTTTAGTTCAGTCTGAAATAATAGGAGCAGAAGCAAGGATCAGAAGTTAAGGTTACTTTCAAAAAAAGTCTTGCCTGGCCAAGTGGCTCAGCTGGTTGAGCATCCTCCTATGCACCAAAAAGTTGCCGGTTCAATTCCTGATCAGGGTACATACCTGGTCAGGGCAGGTGTGGAGGGCAACCGATCGATGTTTCTCTTTCACATCGATGTTTCTCTCTCTCCCTTCCTCTCTCTAAGCATATCCTTGGGTGAGGATTTAAAAAAAAATCTAGGCTGTTCAATTCCTGATCAGGGTACATACCTGGTCAGGGCAGGTGTGGAGGGCAACCGATCGATGTTTCTCTTTCACATCGATGTTTCTCTCTCTCCCTTCCTCTCTCTAAGCATATCCTTGGGTGAGGATTAAAAAAAAAAATCTAGGCTAGCCCTCATCTTCTCCCCCTATCCCAGTAACTCATAGAAGTCCCTTGATGGTTCAATACAAGCTCATGCACATTGAATCCCACTGGTCAATGGGAAAGCTTGGTGCTAAAGCAGGTTCTGCTTGCAAGGCCATAACTTTGCAAGAAGCACCCAGGTAAGGACAGCGCAGTCTATACAGGAGGCCTGGGGGACGTATACAAGTGGCCTACCCCGGGAGGCTCAAACAGCAGAGCAGGTGGAGAAAGAGCAGAGGGGCAGGGGCAAAAAGACAGGTTGGCATCAGTTACCTGCGTGGCATCAGTAAGGCGGCCATACAGGCACCCGCTTATGGTTAACCCTCTGGCCGGTGTGCAGGGACGTCAGGGCGGGAGATAAGACTGCGGGGCACAGGGATTTACCCTTTCACGTCCTCTCACCTAAAATCAAAGAATCCGCTGTAAGAGGGGGCCACCCTCTCTTCTCTGACTGTGCTAGAAATCCTTTCTGATGGCTTTCTGCCAACTGAATACCTCCCCGCTCACACCCCGTTCCCCACAAACTTCTACTAGCCCCGAGACAGGGAGACGAACCAAGGATGGACAAGAAAAAATTGTTGGGTGGGTTCACATTGCTGCCTGCTGGTCAGGAGTTTCTATCTCCCTAACTATTGGCCATCAACAGTAAAGTGGGGCACGTGCCCCAGGGGAGGAAGGCATGGGCCTGGCGAGCCAAAAATTACTATTTTCTTTGTGTTACTTGAGTGGGATCCTGTGACCAACCAGCCAAGGT